GGGGCGGTGTAAGGTGCTACTGCTGCTGTAGCTCGTGTGCTTTGTGTTTACAGGAGCTCTAGAGAGGTGGCAGGGCTCACATTGGGTGGGGACAGAGAAGTACAAGAAGTACCTGTACTAGCTATGGGTCTTCAATGATCATTTTGCGCCTTTTGACTGATAGGTGGGGAATATGCTGAAAATAGAGTTGCTGAGGCACCTTGACGACTGATCATTGCCAAGTCTACAAGGCTAACCTGCCCTATTCGCCGCACCGCGGCCACGCACCAACCCTTCTATGACCCTATATTCGGCCAGCACCCTGTCGCGGGCTACCCTCATGGCCTACAGGTGGAGATAGCTGTTGCGTGTGGAGAAGTACAGCGGGCTGTTTTGCTGTACTTCTCGCTCTCTCCGTCTCGCTCTCACCCCTCATTTTTTATTGTTTCAGAAAAAATATATATGAATCGAAACGGAACATGGGGATGACGGACCACGCTTTCGGCCGGCGACTAGCCTAGACCCAAAAGGGTTAATTTACTTTCTGGTGCTTTCATTCCAGAGAAAGTTGTAAGCACTATGTAACTGCCTCGAGGGTGCTTGACCATTTCAACACAACGCGGTGCGATCATCCCCCTTGCGCGGAGTGAGCGTTCACCCCGCATTACATGATCTACTCGACCACCATGATCGTTACCGCCCCAAAAAAAAAAAAAAAGGGCGGGGGTATTTACGGAGGAATGATGGAGCAATGCAGAAAGGCAGCAGCGCTAGCGAGTAATTTTGACGAAAGAGGAGTACCGAACACATCATGTTCATTAATACTCGAAGTTGTTGTCGTCGTCAGGGTGGGTCCTACGTAATTTTTGGAAAAGTCGAACATCGAACATCGAACAAGCGGATAGTTCGAAGTTCGACTTTTTGGGTCCATTGAAATTTGCAAAAAAGCGTGAAAAAAAATCCCACACACACACGTTTTTGCGTTCAACAGCCCGCGTTGTTGGACCACGCCCGGAAAACCCAAGGGCACTCGACTCTCGAAAAGATACGAGTGTCGAGGAACAGGGACGGCGCCAGGAGGAGGAGCACAAGAAGCAGCCCCACCAGCAAAAACAGCACCGGTTGATAGTAGCTAGCGCTCGAAGCCGCGGGGTGGAACCCCGGCATCCCTTGCGGCCTGATGCCCACATGCATTGCCGCGGGACCCTGCCGACTCACACCAACACTGCTGCAGCTGTTTGGCTGTCCAGCAATGCTGTATGGTTGCGACGGGAAGGAACCCCCGTGTGATTCATCTCACACCTGGCCCCGTTTGTGCACGCGGGGCCCTGGGATCCAGCGCAAACTCGTCGTCGCTCTGTGCAGACATGGGTATTGCTGTTGCTGTCCTGCAAACCGCTCTGTCGTTCTCCCTCTCCCCGAGATTGTGTTTTTTGGTGGTGTGTGTTGGGTGAACGTGCGTGATGCATGCGTGCGGGTTTTCTTTTTTGTCGCCAATTCGGTCCCAATAGTCCACGGGACTGTAGGTTAGGTATCGGTTTTCGAGTTTTTGTGGAAAGATGTTAGAGTTTTAGGCGGAATCGCCCCTGGAAGATCCGGCGTATAAAAACTCGAAAACCCGAACATCTCTTTGGGCTGTTGGACCTTCCTGGCCAATCACATGATTACACCGCTTGTTCGATGTTCGATGTTCGAGTCCAAAAAAATTACGTAGGACCCACCCTCAACGTCGTACTACATTTTTTGTGTTTCCACTTTTGTTTTCGGCAATGCTAAATACGACACCGGTGTCGTAAATCCTTAACTACGACACCATCCGGATCTCAGCTCAGAGGGCTCCATATGGCGTCAGACTAGGTTTGTTGGAACGTCACGGCTCTTAGCGATCACGCAAGCTTTGTTTCAACTCCAGATGCCACGCGGTTGGGAAGATATAATCGAGCAACGGGGTTCCGCAGCATCACGGTCTGGGTCCCTAAACGTAGGTTGCCATTTCTCAGCCCACAGGCTTCCAATGAGGGTCAAGTTAGGTTCGTTGCAACGCCACGGTCCTAGGCTATCACACAAGCTATGTTCCAACCCAATCGGCTATGTGGATGCGGAGATATTCTTGAAACGGGGGTTCTGCAGCATCATAGGCAGGGTCCCCTCACGTATCCGATCATATCTCAGCCAGCAGGGTTCTAAAAAACGTCCACGTAGTTTCGTTAGAATACCATCGCCCGTAGCTATCACTCAAGCTCTTGTTCAGCTCAATCCGCTACGTGGTTGCGGAGATATCGTCGGAAATGGGGGTTCCGCAGCATCACAGCGAGAGTCCCCTCAGGTATCAGGCCATATCTCAGCCCACAGGGCTTCAATCGTCGTAGAACTGACTTCGTTAGGTAGCCACGGCCCGCAGCAATCGCGCAAGTACTTTGACATATCATTCGACTAGGTGGTTCTGGAGTTACAGACTCAGGAAGGGGCACAGCAGTATCGTGAGCTCGGTATAAACCTCCAAACGTGGTCTACGTCGACCCAATGAGCGCACAGCAGCCCAAAACTACTCACGCTACCTTGCCACGACCCACAGATATCGTTAGAGCCGTCGATGACCTTAATCGGACCTGTGTCAGCCGAGATATGCTTACCCACGGGTTAACATATCGTTAGAGCCGTCGATGACCTTAATCGGACCTGTGTCAGCCGAGATATGCTTACCCACGGATTAGCCGGGGTGCCGCAGGGTGATGTCGTAGATAAGCTTTTTTCACTACGACATCACCCGCATCTCATCGCACGGGAGCGTGAATCAACGTTAAACCGACTCGAATGGGTTCACACAATCCTCAGCTATCGTTCAAGCCGTTACTTGACTCGATCAGCCCGTTGGTTGCGAGGATACGGTCACCCACTGGGGTCCGGCCGCCCCAAGAGTGGTGTCGTAGTTAAGCGCTTAACTACGACACCACTTATTTCTTCGACCAAAGGCCACGACTCGACGCCAAACCATTTACGCTGTGTTGCTAGAGGTAGCGGGCGTCGTTGGAGTCGGTGGCGGGTGAAATTCATCCGGTGGGTGCAGTGAAACGCCTATATCCGAGGGCCACGGCGGCCCCTAGAGTAGGGGAGGGTGTCGTGGTTAAGCCTTATCTACGACACCACTCAGTTCTTTCACCAAAGGAAGGCCACGAGTCAACACCGTGCGCTGTGTTGCTAGAGGTAGCGGGCGTCGTTGGAGCTGTTGTTGGGTGAAATTCTTAGGGTGAACACATACCAGTTGAGGGAACGCCTACATCCGAGGGCCACGGCGCCCCGGGGGATGGTGTCGTAGAAAAGGTTAGAAACGACACTACCCGCATCCCAGCGCACAGAGTTTCAGTGACAGTAAAACCGATTTTATCGGAAAGCCACGATCTTCAGCTATCGCGGAAGCTGCTAGTCGGCTGCATCGGCCCGGTGGCTGCGGAGATACCGTCACCCGCAGGAGTCCGGCCGCCCGAGCGTGGTTTCGTAGTTAAGCCTTATCTACGACACACTCATTTCTTCAACCAAAGGCGACGAATTGACACCAAACTATGTGTGCTGTGTCGCTAGAGGTAGCGAGTGTCGTTGGAGTCGGTAGCGGGTGAAATTCATCCGGTGGGTGCAGTGAAACGCCTATATCCGAGGGCCACGGCGGCCCCTAGAGTGGGGGAGGGTGTCGTGGTTAAGCCTTATCTACGACACCACTCAGTTCTTTCACCAAAGGAAGGCCACGAGTCAACACCGTGCGCTGTGTTGCTAGAGGTAGCGGGCGTCGTTGGAGCTGTTGTTGGGTGAAATTCTTAGGGTGAACACATACCAGTTGAGGGAACGCATGTAGAGTTTGTTATTAGCGCAAAGGAAATATGGGGGGGGGCGCACGAATAGTGGACGTTGTACGCCAAATAGTTTCCGTCCTTTTCTCGTTCTCGATATATNGAGCGTGGTTTCGTAGTTAAGCCTTATCTACGACACACTCATTTCTTCAACCAAAGGCGACGAATTGACACCAAACTATGTGTGCTGTGTCGCTAGAGGTAGCGAGTGTCGTTGGAGTCGGTAGCGGGTGAAATTCATCCGGTGGGTGCAGTGAAACGCCTATATCCGAGGGCCACGGCGGCCCCTAGAGTGGGGGAGGGTGTCGTGGTTAAGCCTTATCTACGACACCACTCAGTTCTTTCACCAAAGGAAGGCCACGAGTCAACACCGTGCGCTGTGTTGCTAGAGGTAGCGGGCGTCGTTGGAGCTGTTGTTGGGTGAAATTCTTAGGGTGAACACATACCAGTTGAGGGAACGCCTACATCCGAGGGCCACGGCGCCCCGGGGGATGGTGTCGTAGAAAAGGTTAGAAACGACACTACCCGCATCCCAGCGCACAGAGTTTCAGTGACAGTAAAACCGATTTTATCGGAAAGCCACGATCTTCAGCTATCGCGGAAGCTGCTAGTCGGCTGCATCGGCCCGGTGGCTGCGGAGATACCGTCACCCGCAGGAGTCCGGCCGCCCGAGCGTGGTTTCGTAGTTAAGCCTTATCTACGACACACTCATTTCTTCAACCAAAGGCGACGAATTGACACCAAACTATGTGTGCTGTGTCGCTAGAGGTAGCGAGTGTCGTTGGAGTCGGTAGCGGGTGAAATTCATCCGGTGGGTGCAGTGAAACGCCTATATCCGAGGGCCACGGCGGCCCCTAGAGTGGGGGAGGGTGTCGTGGTTAAGCCTTATCTACGACACCACTCAGTTCTTTCACCAAAGGAAGGCCACGAGTCAACACCGTGCGCTGTGTTGCTAGAGGTAGCGGGCGTCGTTGGAGCTGTTGTTGGGTGAAATTCTTAGGGTGAACACATACCAGTTGAGGGAACGCATGTAGAGTTTGTTATTAGCGCAAAGGAAATATGGGGGGGGGCGCACGAATAGTGGACGTTGTACGCCAAATAGTTTCCGTCCTTTTCTCGTTCTCGATATATCTGCGCCCCACGCTGTCAAGCAACGCCCTCCGCACCGGCACAGCAACCATGCCGGCCAGGAGGAACAGCATCCCATACTCTTCGACGGGAATCCCCGTCTACGAGGCTCTGTCTGATGTGCAGGAGGACCTTAGGCTGATCCTGTACGACGTCCGAGGGAACACTCACGGCATCGCCGTGGATAATCCTCGACTACAGGAAGCTCTTCGTAAGGCGTCGAAGCTGCATGGTCCCATCCTCAGCAATCCGCTGCCGTCACCGTCGCAGGTGTGCTTTTTGCGCCCTACGACACGCCGTTGTTCGTTTGTCTTCGTTACAGTTGGAGCCCTGTCGTGCACACCAGGTTAGAGCACCCACAGCAGTTGCAAGAATCCGTGTAACAGGGAGCAACACTCCCTGAGAACAGACGCGGCGGAAACTAGCGATTGACTTTTTGCGCGCTTTCGCTGCTGTTGCCCGTATCCACATCCCCTCCTTGAGTGGCGCCAGGGGGTACAATTCCTTACCTTCTTGCCTCCCTCCTGGTTTTCTCTCGCTTGCTCCGACCTCCCTCTTGCGTTTTGTCGCTAATTGCAAGTCACATGTTTTGCTGCCTTCCCCAACTGTAAAAAAAAACAACAACCTAGGGTGGCTACCACCCGGGCGTTCAGGATATTTTGCTCCCAGGTTTACTCACATATCTACAGCAGCAGTTTTTCCTGCGTTTTTCCTGTGGTTTTGGAGGACAACNACCTGCCTTCCTCCTGGTTTTCTCTCGCTTGCTCCGACCTCCCTCTTGCGTTTTGTCGCTAATTGCAAGTCACATGTTTTGCTGCCTTCCCCAACTGTAAAAAAAAACAACAACCTAGGGTGGCTACCACCCGGGCGTTCAGGATATTTTGCTCCCAGGTTTACTCACATATCTACAGCAGCAGTTTTTCCTGCGTTTTTCCTGTGGTTTTGGAGGACAACCCTGTGACGTGTCCCTGATACTGAGGAAAGATTGATCTCCACAGATTCACGGAAGGTTTTTCGTCCATACATTTCCGTTTCTGTTGAAAGTATTTTCGAACTCATTTTCGATGTTTTTTTTCCATTCCATTGCTGGGCGTGCAACGGCACTGCCGTGGCAGTGACACGGCAGGTCACGGCGCTGCCGTGGCACGCCCAATAATGGCTAACCCCATTAATTTTGTAAAATTCCGGCACACACTTTGAGTCGGTTGTGTACCAAAACTAACTCATATTCAGTCTCTGTATCGAGCAGTTCATCCACCGAATCGGACCTCGGTCCTGCAGTGGAGGTTTCTTCTTTGATTTCCAAGTGCGTTGTTCAAACCTGCAGGAACTAACGGATTCAATGTCAATGCGAGTTCCTTTCCGATACGTTTGGCGCAAACGGAAAAGGAACTACTAGACAAGGAACTTAGCAAAGACTACTTCACGGCAGCTCTTCTTCGCGGGGTACAGCCCGTAGATGGGTTAGGCGCCGGGACGCCCTTCATCACCGCGGGTGACGGCAACCGCCTGTTTGTTAGATATACTCGTAGCATAGTAATGTGGTTGAGTATGGGACATGGATCTACGGAGATTGCAGTTGGTAGATCGCGGAGGAACAGGGAGTTTCTGCTTGGTTTCTTCGGAGATTCGATGAGTGATCTGAATTGCGTGACGGATAGGTGTGGTGACGCCCTACTCTTCGGCTGCTCGGCCTCGAGTGGTCTCTGCCCTTCCCTCTTCCCTCTAATACAAGACTTTCCCATCTCGGCCCTCACTGGCCGAGCTGCCTTTCTCCACAAACCTACAAGCTTCGGCCTACCCGGTTTATCCAACACTGTTGAACGCCGCGGCCCAGCTATTCGCAAAAAAACCCCGCGGGATGAGGAACGAGATTGAATCCTTGGCGGTGAAGCTACGACCGAGGGTAACCCTCGAGGGGATGCGGCACATGGAGGCATACCTCCCTTGTCAAGAGGAGTTCTTCATGTGTCGATCCAACTACGGGGATGAAGTGCGAGAAGGACTGCCTAACTAAGCTGGGGTGGACCATCGAGGCAGACGCGCACAACAAGCATCGAGTGGGGTCTCGTAATTGTGCCCGGCTGATGTTCGTTGCGCAGCTCAAGCACGTTGCCGGGAATTGTAACTGGCTGCAGCAGTTCGCCTTCCCGTTGCTGGCGACTGTCATCCAGGCGCCCTTCCGAGGTTTCCGTGTAAGTGTCATCTCTCCATCGTTAACCGTATACGACATAGATAACGCCATCGATTTTTCGCCAGTGCCATTTACTCGGACATGATATTGTTTTCAATGTCACACCAGACGCGGGAAATCACCCTATGTGTCCAGTGTCTAGGGTTGGGAAGAGGGCCATTCTGTGGTAGTCAAATTAGGGTGTTATTTGTCGCAATTGTCTACAGTGGTTCCTGTGTGGCCTTCGTGGTGTCTTGTGCCTGTCTTACCGCAACCAATCATGTATGTCACAGCCTTGTCGGGTGAGCCTGGGTATCTTAACGTTATGATGGGCCCATTGTTCATGTGTCATGTGCGGCCGCCATCAGGTCCCATTGGCTTCTACAGGGGCGGCGGCTAACGCCGAACAGGAAGCCCACAGCAAATGCTTGGTGAGACCCTGGTTTGCAGCACAGGAGCTGATATTCCAGTGTACCTTTCGATGCAGCAGACATTGAGGATAACGTCGCTATGTTGCCGCGCAGGGGCCGAGATTCCATCCTACCTTTTGAACGTTGGAAGAAGCATACAGCGAGGAATTCGTGGCCACCAAGAATGCAAGTGGAGTCTCCAATCACTCGCGTGCGTGGTCATGTTCGTGCCATCCTCACAATCATCCTCAGGACGAAGAGTCCGTGGAGCGGAAGCGGAGGGAAGAGGCGGCTGAGGCCGAGACGCGCTTTCGAAGGCGGAAACAACAACAGGGGGCGGCCGACGGCGGGAAGAAGGTGGGGGTTCTGGAGTGGGTAGTGGGGGCAAGCTAGCCGGCAGCGACCACGACAAGCACAAGCTTGGCGAAAAGGGTGGAAGCCAACAAAGTGGGGGTGGTGGAGATGGCACTGGACATGGACAAGACACCATGGACCACGAGAAGGGTAGGAACGGTGGAACATGCGGCCCAGAGAAGCCGCGTTGGAGGAACCGACAAGAATGGCGACGACGTGTCCGAGGGGGGCAAACGGCAGGCGACAAAGGACGGGCTTTCAACGGGTGCGCCGGCAGGGGACTGCGGCGGGGCAACGGATATGGAAATCTGTCAACTACGAAGGAAATCTCATGGGTTTCAGCGACTCGCACTCGCTCGAGAGGGGAGGGTGAGTGGAAGGTTCATCAGGGCCCCCCCATTATGTGAAGTGGTAACGGCTTCATCGAGTATCATGAACGGCATAAATCGGAACGCGTGCAGCTTGCGAATCCACCCTAACCGCAGGGAGAGGACCCCTCCCCCCCCCCCAGCGTGTGTGACCCCGGTTGGGTCGTCTAGGTTGTCGTAGTGGAGGATTGGGGCCAGTGGGGCTGACGACAGAAGTCAATAATGGGAGTAAACGACAAATAAAGGATAAAATAACGAAAAAACGGATGAACGTGCTGCGTAGACGCTTGTGTGCATTCCTATAAGGACACCACCAGAACGGTATCTGACATCGGCATGTACTTGTTGATGTGCCCGATACCTNAATCTGTCAACTACGAAGGAAATCTCATGGGTTTCAGCGACTCGCACTCGCTCGAGAGGGGAGGGTGAGTGGAAGGTTCATCAGGGCCCCCCCATTATGTGAAGTGGTAACGGCTTCATCGAGTATCATGAACGGCATAAATCGGAACGCGTGCAGCTTGCGAATCCACCCTAACCGCAGGGAGAGGACCCCTCCCCCCCCCCCAGCGTGTGTGACCCCGGTTGGGTCGTCTAGGTTGTCGTAGTGGAGGATTGGGGCCAGTGGGGCTGACGACAGAAGTCAATAATGGGAGTAAACGACAAATAAAGGATAAAATAACGAAAAAACGGATGAACGTGCTGCGTAGACGCTTGTGTGCATTCCTATAAGGACACCACCAGAACGGTATCTGACATCGGCATGTACTTGTTGATGTGCCCGATACCTGTTTGTGTTGTGTGTGTAGACGGTCCTCCTCTCTTTGGCTATTTTACAACGGCGATTTTGCACGGTGTCGACTAATTTCGATTTTTCGTGTTGTATTGCAAGTCCAAGACTTCTTCTCTTCGTCGCTCCCCCCCCTTCGAGTCAGCGACGCCAGCCCTGAGGATACGCACTGAAGGAACGATCAGCGTTCGTGCGTGCTCGTACGAAGTCCAAGGGCGGGCGCTTTACCGACGATGAGGATCCGGACGGGAAATCGAGCGGAGGTCAACGAGGCAACGACAAAAAGGTGAGACAGGTTTGCTACGGTAACCAACTTTGAATGGCAAGGGATGGAGGCACACGGTAATGCCGCTGCGATGCCGTATGATACACCCATTGTCATCCGAGCGCGTCTTGTTTCGACGCAAGGGGGAGGGGGAATACCAAAGAGAAAACGTCGCAGCGTACAACACGTGGTCCCTAGTAACAAACCAACGGCCGGGACACATGGATAGTTCGAATCGTGTGCCGCCCTTGTCATCTCGTTCCCGGCGTTGCCAGTCCATATCACCNGACGAAGACACGGACGAGGAAACTGGGCTGTGGGGGGACGTAGATGGCGCAGGAATTGTGCACCTTGGTCGTGCATTCGACGTGAAGGAGTCAGCCTACGACACGTGGGAGGCCGCATGCCACGGTCATCGGGGAGCTCGAAGAAGAAGGGCATCTAATCCTTCAAAAGAAGAGGGTCAAGTTGGTGAGTTGAACAGATCTGGTGTTTCGATTGCACGGCGGTTCATTGTATAGCCTAGGGAAGCCTCGATGTCACGTCTTCACTCTGAAACGAGCTGGTGGAATCATTCGCGTTTCATCCTGCGTTTCCCAATGCGTTCCCAATGAATTTTTTTTGCCATCCGGCCTATGTGTCCGCAGACGACCGACAAGAGAAGGCACTACCTCTGCGAAATCGTCTGCAAACACTCGGGGGTGGCGCGTAGGCGTGCGCCCCAAGTGGGTAAGCAGAAGAGGATGCGGAAGAGTTACATGGTGCGTAACATAGTCTGAGGCTATTGATGTTCAGAGCCGGAGTTCGCTACGACATTTTCGCGGGAGAGTGCGTCGGCCCGCTTTCAACACGCGTCGCGGGATACCCACATCTTTTGCGACGTATGTCCTGTGACTGTTCGTGGTGCAGATCAAGTGCCCTTTCAAGGTCTACATGACGTGGCGGGTTGGGGCGACGAATCCCACCATAACGTCGGTGAGGATGGGAACTCGGGGTAGCTTATGTGCTCGTATCGTACCTCGCCCTTATTTTTGCTGCCGCTGTACCAGCTACGTGACCTATATGGGGTACCTGTTTTCGTGGTTGACGTGTTCTCTTCTTCGGGAAATTGTCGCCGTTCTTTTATCGTTCTTTTATTGTCGTTTATTCGTTTCGTTTCATTTTTTGCGGTGTCGTCATCCGTTACTCCGTGTTTTTGTACTCCAACGAGTAATTCTTTCGCCGTATTTTCTGATTTTCGTTTGATATGACCGTCGTTCGTTCGACATGCTCGTGTGCATGCCAAGCGAGTGCCTCGCTGCGTATCAAAATACCAACCCTCAGGCCACACGAAATATCTACTTGAGCCGTGCGTGATGATGACAAGCCTCGTCGCTACCGTGAGGAGTCCCGTTTTCCCTGTCCCGACGGGCGTTGTCGCCGTCCTGGACTTTCCCGGTGCCTTTTTTTTCCGTTTCTTAGGGCGGTTCTTGTGCGTTTAACGTTCGCCTTAAATCTGATCGTGCTCGTTAGTCCTTCTGCAAACACAACCACAATCCCCGGGGGAGCGTCTCAAGAGCCCAGGCTAAAGTCCTGCCGCCCACAGTGGTCGACGAGAGATTCGATGACGTCCGCCAGTGGGCGGCGGCTGGCGTCCAACCCACGGACATGTTCAAACTGCTGGAAATGGACTACCACGGTTTGTGCTTGGCGAAAGACGGAAAGAAGAAGGCAATAAGATAAGCACGAGCTTTGCCGGCGGGCGCTGCGCACGGGCCGTTGCTGCAGCCGTCCAAAGACCGAATGGGGAAGGGCGGGTGGGGGGGGAGGGCGTACTCTTATGTTTGGCATGCCTTAGCGGTTAGACCATTGACCACGCGTCCTCGAGATGACGGAGCATTGTTCTCACAGGACCGATCACCGATGGCCAATCGTTCCTTTCTCCTTTGCCAAAGGTGACTCAAAAATGTCTTCCCTAGTCTGTCTATCCTAACGATATCCCTTCCCGCCTTTTCAACCCACCTCCTATGCCCCACTACAGCTACCGTCCTTTCCTCTCTATTCCATGCCTCAAACATCTCCCTGTACGTCCTATCTATTTTTCCCAGTTCAGCCACGTACACTTCCCTATCCTCCTTGTACAACGGACGTTCCGCGACTACATGATCACGGTCTTCGCATTCGAAGCCGCAATCACATTTGAACT